TTATTTGTTCTTTGCATATATCATCCACACCTGCAGCTTTCCCGTTTTTTAACCTGTTCAGACCGTCGTGGAGTTCTTTTAGTGTAAAAGGAGTTCCTAGGTGGTTTTTCTCCGAATCCAATCTTCTCCTAGTGTTGGGGTCCTTATATCGGTTAGTAGTTCTTCCATTCGTAAGGAGTTGAGTAGCGACTTGGTCTGCTGTAACCTTGCAAAGTGGTTTATGTTCTTTTGGATCACCGCTGAGTTTTTTTTTTACAAGGTTCCATGCTATTTTGCTACTATGTGTCATGTCCATTTTTTCCAGGGTTTCAATCCACTTTTCCTGTCTGGCTTGACTTAGCTGTTGGAGTAGTACTGTTCCGCAGTCAACCGTTTCTTGGCTAAAAAGGTCAGTGGAATAGAGGGTTTCGTATGTTCTGATTAGTTCTTTGGACTCGCTGGACATCCCGGGAACGTATTGTTGTCTACATCCTCTAGGGATAGTTTTCTAGACACATTTTTGAGTACCTCTACGAATTTTTCGTAGTTCTCTACTCTTGGTTCAAGGCGTAGTAGTTCAAAATCTAGCATGTCTGCATACTTTTGCCAGTTTGCCTTTTTGAAGTCTCCTTCTGAATGGAATAGCTTGTGGTCTGACAATTGGGAAGATATTTATACCAATTGGTCTATGCTGAGTTTTTGGTATGGGGCCATATACTACTTTGGTACATCGGTCTTCGAGGTTGTCGAGGTTATTGCTTGAAAAACAGATATTCGGGTTAAAATATTGGCAATAAATTCTATCAGATGAAGAATCTGATGAATTTGACGACACGTATCTTTCGAACGAGTACCAACCAACTAATTTTAGTGACAGTGAAAATGAATCAACTATTATATACCGGAATAGAATATAGAATAAAAAAAATGAAAACGTGTGGCCGGAAATACCAAACCGTTAGGACAAGATGTATCGGCGTCCACCAGTAGAGAAAAAGAATATACGAATTTCGGAGAACATATTGATGCTGCTATAGAATCTGTCATTACTCAACATTCTGAAGTCTCCAAACAGGAAATTTTAGAAGAACCAATAGTATCCCATGCAATGAATGAAGCTATTATCTGGCGGTCGGTCAAAAGCGAAAATTTACAGAAATTTACATTTAAGGACTTTAATTCTGCATATTTTTATACATAATTATACGAAAACTTCTTTTTAGTAGTAGTAAAAAAAAACGTAGGTCTTTTATCCATGATGGTAAATATCTATTTTATTTTATTCAACTGATTTTGATTTTTTTTACTTTAGGTCGTCGAAACAAATCATTATATCTTACAGTATCGGGAAAAGAAACAGAAAAAATAGGATTATGTCATTTTCCATCTTTTTATTTGTACTGGTCAAAAAATGATCTTTATGTGAATAATATTAAACAAGTAGTGTTAATGAATTGCTTCCAGTATTTGTGAAAATCGCTGAAATTTAACGATAATTCACTAAAAACAGATGATCGTTTGCAAAAGAACGTTCCCTTGGTTAGCAGACTAAAGAATAAATTTAAGGCTGCCATTGTTTCAAATGAAAACGTGTGCATTGACGAAACTTTATTGCCTTTTTAAGGGCGACTAAAATTCAAGCAGTATATTGTTAACCGGAGGCACAAATTTAGGATAAAATTATTTAAACTTTGTCTGGAAGATGGTTATACCTACGATTTTAACGGATATTGTGGAAAAGACATGCTGAAGGTAGCACCGTAGCAACAAATGTAGTGATGAAACTTATGGATGGACTGCTTGACAAAGGACGAACACTTGAGATTGATAACTACTAGAGTTCTCTCACACTTGAACTCCTACACCAAAAAACTTACATCACGTCGGCATCACGCAAACTATATAAAATTTTTATGTGTTCGCCTCTGATGGCACTTTTTAGATAGGCACGCTTTTGTCACTTATTTATTTCATACATTCTTAAACTCTTTAAGAATAACAAATAAATTTAAAAAATTATTATAATAGTAATAATAGTATATTACTTTATGAGGCGGAGAAGCATGACTTTTCTTGACCAGCCCGATATTACGCGACTCACTTCGTTCGGCGCGTAATATAGAACAAGTCAAGAAAAGTCGCCTCTTTGCCGAATAAAGTATACTATTTTTTCTTCAAACGTAGCAATTTTCAACCATAAATAGTACAATTTATACGTTATTTTACTCGAAATTAACTGTGACAACTATCAAAGTCGTCTAGATGTTAGAAATTAAATTTTGCGTCTCCCTGGTTACAGTTGTTTGACAGTTGTTTGCAATTATTAAAGACAGCTTATTGTTGTTCGCAAGCCGCCAACATCGAAAATGATTGCTGAAAGTTGTTCTCGACCATCAGTATCATCAACAATTACCAATGCGTATCAAGAGTCGGAAACATTTTTGCACGGTTTCAATTTTGAAAATGCCTCATTAACTAATTGTACTTTTAATATTACTATAAATAAAAATGATGTTTAATTGTTGTTAATGACATTTGTATTGTTGCTTTGTGACATGTTTCATATTGTTGCCATTACAACATTTTTCCCTCCGCCGTAAAGAAATGGGAAAAAAAATGATGCCGGCGGAGACATCAAACTTTGACAGGATCAAGTTAGATATGTAATGTCATCATTATTTGACGTTTGAAGAAAAATGATTATTATAATAGTAAAATATTACTTTTATAGCAACAATATGAGGGCACTTTGTAATACAATTTAATCAAAAAGATCAATAAGCTATCTTAAATTTTTACTGCTGTCATTTTAAGATTTATTGTTTCAAATCATGAATGTGTTGCTTGTGTGAGTCCATTTCAAATAGGTAAAGAAATAATAAATAAGACTTACTCACAATTAATTTAATTTAACTATCAGACGACCGGTTTCGCTTTCTACAATATGCAAAGCATCTTCAGGTCTCGATACAAAGTTAAACAAATGATGCCGGTACTCTATTAATAGATGGATGGTAGAACATGTTTGAAACTACTTTATATTGTTGAATGGAGAACTCAATACTATTATTGCAGTTGTTTGACAGTAAACGGGAAGTTCTTGAGGAGATAGATTTGATCCAATGAATTTAAGATATGTGTGAGATTGTTTGTTAAATGTAAGTGGTGTAATATACTATTGTGTTATTAAAAGTTATTTATACTTATTCCAGAGATATATTTTTGAAATGTGTGTTATTTATTGAGTAATTGTTTTATGAAGGTGACATTTTATGACAATGAATAAGTGTAGATGTAAAAATTGTGTGGGTGTGCAATTATTTTCAAACTTGTAGTTATCAAATTACTTTGATAAAGTTCTATTGCATACAACAAACAATCTCACACATATCTCAAATTCATTGGATCAAATCTATCTCCTCAAGAACTTCCCGTTTACTGTCAAACAACTGCAATAATAGTATTGAGTTCTCCATTCAACAATATAAAGTAGTTTCAAACATGTTCTACCATCCATCTATTAATAGAGTACCGGCATCATTTGTTTAACTTTGTATCGAGACCTGAAGATGCTTTGCATATTGTAGAAAGCGAAACCGGTCGTCTGATAGTTAAATTAAATTGATTGTGAGTAAGTCTTATTTAATATTTCTTTACCTATTTTTATTTATTGTTTCATTTAGGAATGTTTCTATAGGTACTAGCCACATACACAGTAATACGTTTACTTTGTTCAGGTATATTTAACTTGCACAATGCTTTTTACACTAACTATTTTTACTTCATCATTTTAAAAAATTTTGTCCTCTAACTTTCCTTATATGTCTGTGTTGTTAAGAAGTTGGATTGCCCCAATATTCACATGTTGACGTAGACGTTGTTCATGTCTGCTGATACATTTGGCTATTACTTAATCCATTGCCTCCATTTCAGCTCTCGGTGGATGCATATGTTCTTTAGGTAGCTGCTTCTTAGTATTCTATTTTGAAATCTCTATATTTTCAATATCTTTACTGGCGCATTCCCAGAGCTGTGCGTCATATATCCATACTGGCTGTAGTCATCATCATCATCACCATCATCCAGCCTTCAGTTATCACGTCCACTGCTGAACATAGACCTCTCTTAAACTCATCCATTCTTTACGATTTTGCGCTCTTTGATACCAATTTTTGGTGATATGCCTGATGTCGTCAGCCCAAAGTGTAGGTGGTCTTCCTCAACTAGTTTTATCTGCTCTTGGCCACCAATTTGTAATTTTGCTTGTCCATCGTGAGTCGTGTATTCTCGATACATTACCTACATGCATTTCACAACATCAACAATAAACATCATTCCTCGCAAATCTTCCTTTCTTATTCAATCCCACATCGTCACACCAGGTAATACACATTGGTCAAATACTTTTCTTTTGAGTCCAATTGGTATGTTGGCCCTAAGTGTGTCTCGCAGTTTTCACTTACTACTAGTTGCAGTTTATCTTTCTAAATGTTATGTTAAGTTCCTTTCCCTTTTTTTAATATTGAATTTTCAGCGCAGTCTCTAATTCAAATGTAACCTTAAGTACTTGTTATAGTATGCAACAGCGACTTTACAGGTTATCGATTCTATAGCTTATATTGCTCTATTGTATATGCAAAATCGATATTCATTGATAGTATAATATTAAGTTAAATTCTCTATGTTTTGTCAAATAAGTGATATTATTCACTGAGATCTGTAGTCTTCTTGCAGCTCCTTTACGGTCTTTTTCAACTGATAGGATAATCTGATCGCCAGCAAAAATGCCCATCATACCTTTTTCAAAGTCTAGAATATTATCTATCTTTGTTTTTATGGGAGATTTATGTTTAAACGCTATATCTTTTTTATTTTTGTCGATATTCAAGAAAGTCAAGAGAAAGACACATTTTTAAATTATTCTAGAACAGACGCTTCGAAAACCTACACCTGTTCTAGAATGTTTTACGTATCACGAGTTACAAAATATGTAGATTTGTATATTGTTTTTTTGTTTGTAGAATATGTCCCGTCATCCTCAATACGAATATCGTCATAATAATCAACGCAAATATTACGTCGACAATAATGAAACAGAATACACCGATAGCGATTGTCAGATGGATACTGCCCACCGAAATCTACACACAATTCCAGCACCACCGCATCTGGACGAGATTTATAGCAAACACTCCACGATAGTTCCCATTAAAGTGGTACCGCTAAAAAAAGCTACTAAAATGGTGTCTAAGCAACAGTCTGAAAAATTTGCACAAGAGTAAGTATCAAAATAGATGATTATTTATTTGTTTGACAATTTATGGTTTTTGTTTATTTTGTTTTACATAGTGATTGTTGAGATTAAAACAGCAAAAACAGCAGTTTTTCTTTCAGCAGTTTCGGCAGATTCTTTGAATTCGGGGCGGTCTTCAGTTAGTAATTTTTTATAGTATTCTTGCCATTCGTTTTCTTTGATTTGACCGATCTTGATTTTCTCTGTCTTATTTCTTTGGAGCGACTTTAAAATGCGCCTTGACTCTAAAATTCTCGTTCCTTCTTCTATCTCTGTTAATGTTTTTTTTTTGTGCGGAATACCAAATGAATTGATAAAAAACGGTTTGGTAAAGTTATTCCGTATGATACACAAAATGTTTGAGAGAGCACTGAATGAAGAAGACTTACCTGCAGAATAGATCCAAGCATATATGACATCAATATACAAAAAAGAAAATAGAAAAAACTGCGAAAACTATCGAGGAATCAGCATTATATCGTCTATAGGCAGACTGTATGAAAAGAACACAAAGGAAAAATTAGAAATATATATACAAGATAAAATCGGAGAAGACCAGGCAGGTTTCAAAGCGGGGAAAGCATGCTTAGATCACATTTACACGGTCGAACAACTAATAGAAAAAAGAATGGCCAAACATAGATCCGTCCATCTGGCTTTTGTTCATCTTACGAAGGCATATGACTCAATACCTAGAACCAAACTATGGGAAGCAATGGAAGACGTCGAAGTTCCACGAACATTAATAAACGCGGTAAAAGCACTCTACAAGAATAACGAAGTAGCTATCAAAACGGGCAATAGAATATGCAGTCCATGTAAAACGATAAAGGGACTCCTACAGGGTTGCTTCACATCCCCACCCTGTTCAAAATATTTCTGAAAAAAAACCCTGAAACCATGGAGAGGAAAGTGCGAAGAAATGGGTATACCAGTAAGGAACGAATATCTATATACGCTAAGTTTTGCTGACGACCGAATAGTGATCGAAGAAGACGAGGATAACCTCAGTTTTATGATGAGAAAACTGGAGCAGGAATATACAAAGAATGGGATGGAAAAAAACCTAAAGAAAACTGAATACCTAACAACGGATAATACAGAAATAAAATAGCTGGAAATAGACGCAGGTACACAAATCAAAGGAACAGACAAGTATAAGTATTTAGGTTTCATAATATCAAACAAAGGAACAACGGAGGAAGATATAAAAAATAGACTAGGATAAACAAGAGACTACATACGAAAATTTAACCCGGTACTATGGGATAAAAACATCAGCATGAAAACAAAGAAAAAAATATATAACACCATGACAAGAAGTATCCTCACTTATGGGTGTGACAATTATACAATAAATACAATACAATAAAAAACAGGAAAATGCAATATCTCGGACATGTGATGAGAGGACAAAAATATAACATCTTGAGACATATATAATTCTAGGAAAAATAGAGGGTAGAAGAAGCGTAGGAAGAAGACGCTTTTCCTGGTTGAAGAACCTGAGAGAGTGGTTTGGTTGCAGCTTAAGGCAATTGTTCAGAGCAGCTGCTTCGAAGGTCAAAATAGTCATAATGATTGCCAACCTTCGTAGCGGAGATGTCACTTAGAGAAGAACAAGAACAACTTGGAACCTTCTGTCGTAAGAGCGTCTCATTTACTAATTGAGTAGTTTTATTAGAAGAAACTATTGTAAGAACTTGTAAATAAGTTCCTCCATATCGCTTGTAACACTGTTACAAAGGTACTGTTCCCACAGTAACTTGGAAGCTTCCATCACACCAGTGTCTAGTTGAATATTTGAGTAGTTGAATTACAAGAAATTATTGTAATAACTTGTATATAAGGTTCTCCATATTGTTTGTAAGCCGCTACAAGGTCTATTAATATCACGGATATTGTGAGACAATTTAGAAAGCTGAATTGTGAGACAGTTCCGGTTGGGTCTACAAGCATCTTGTTCCAAAGCTAGTTTCTGTAAGATTTTGAATATCCTCATAAAACTTAACCAGGATAAAGATTTTTAGACTGACACCCAATGTGGTATTTTATAACGAAGCTAAGCTAGTTTACACGAATTAAACTGAAATACATGACTGGAGAATCTGGAGAAGTTATTATATACAGAGTGGCCCAAAAGTCTGGAAACTGCTAATAATCTCGTAAATTACTAGACATAATTATACAAAATTTAAGATACGCCTATTTTGGGATACGGAGATTCCATATTTGGTATTTGCAATCTTGCCAGATTTTCAGTTTCTCTTATATTCCTAGTAACTTTGGTGTTTTAAATGCATCACCCTGTATATTCAGTCATTATTGGAATCTCCTATTAAATATGAGTTCAACCATATGTAACATTTATGATTTTATGTAGTCTGGAAGGTCTTAAATACATAAAACAGAAGTCTGGCAACGCCTAAATTGTTTCAATACATTTTTCAATACTAACTATTTTCAAATACATTAAAACGTAACAATTGATAGTTTAGAATATTTTTTAACATAATAGTTACGTTATTAAGTGTTCAAAATGTGCTCCATTTGTGAGTTGACAGCACTCTAATCGATGGTAGAATGCGTCTACCACATTTCTCCATGATTGTCTAGAAATTATTCGAGATCCATCGATAATTCATTGCCTTAGCTATGCAAAACTTGCTGGTTAAGTTTTGTAAACTGAATTTTTCAAGTATCTCTAATAAAAATAATCTTTAGGATTGAGATCGGCTGAACGTGGAGGCCATTCAATTCTACCTTGTCTACCAATTTATCGTCCGGGAAATATCTCATCTAAATAACGCCGAACATTTACACCAACTATCTGACGTTAAATTTCTTTCAATAAAAAATGGCCCAATTAAATAAGTACCTACTATAACTGACCATACATCTAATTTTTGTGGTCTTTGAGTATGGTTTTCACGCATTCAGTGTGAATTTCACACGAGTTCAGCTATTCAGTACGAGTTCAAGCATATGTTCACTTGATTTTATGTAGTATGAAAGATCTTAAATAAATAAAACCGTGTAAAATATGTAGATTTTAATAAATTTAAATATTTAAATGGAGAATACTGTGATATTGACATTTGTTCATCATTTAAATTATGAACTAAAATTGACAGTAGTTGTGGTTCAAAAAGTTCTGCAATTTAAATTGCTTCTCTAAAATGCCGTTCTCTAAACCGTTCTCCTATTCATAAGACGACGGTACAAAAAACTGTAAGGTGATTTGAGGAATCTGGAGAAGTAAAAGATAGATATCGATCAGGTTGACCGAAACGAGTTATCAATGACAACAAAACTTCAGAAAGCAAAGTTTTGTTGAAGATCCACATACATCCCCAGGCAGGGTTGCACAAGTACATGATGTAGGTCATTCTTCAGTCTTACGTTTATTACGTAAAAATAAATTTAAATCATATAAAATTAACTTATTGCAAGAATTAAGTGAAGATGACTTTGGTCGTAGATTAGAGTTTACTGAGGTAATGATGGATAAAATTGAAAATTATTAAAATTTCGTTTTATCCGTAAACATCCGTTTATCGTAAAACAGAATATGTTTTTCCGATGAAGCAACTTTTACACTGTGTGGAAATGTAAATCGACACAATTTAAGGTACTGGTGTGACGTAAATTCACACTGAAGACTAAATGCGTGAAAACCATACTCAAAGACCACAAAAATTAAATGTATGGTCAGATATAGTAGTTACTTATTTAATTGGGTCATTTTTTGTCGAAAGAAATTTAACGTCAGATAGTTGGTGTAAATGTTCGGCGATATTTAGATGAGATATTTCCTGGACGATAAATTGGTAGACAAGGTAGAATTGAATGGCCTCCACGTTCACCAGATTTCAATCCTAAAGATTATTTTTATTAGGGATACTTGAAAAATTCAGTTTACAAAACTTAACCAACAAGTCTTGCAGAGCTAAGGCAACATATTATCAATGAATCTCGAATAATTTCTAGACAATCATGGAGAAATGTGGTAGACGCCTTCTACCATCGATAAGGGTGCTGTCAACTCACAAATTGAGCACATTTTGAACACTTAATAACGTAACTACTATGTTAAAAAATGTTCTAAACTATCAATTGTTACGTTTTAATGTATTTGAAAATAGTTAGTATGTAAACTAGTATTTAAAAATGTATTGAAACAATTTAGGCGTTGCCAGACTTTGGTTTTATGTATTTATGACCTTCCAGATTACATAAAATCATAAGTGTTACATATGGTTAAACTCGTATTAAATAGAAGATTCTAATAATGACTGAATATACAGGGTGATGTATTTGAAAAACCAAAGTTACTAATAATATAAGAAAAACGGCAAATCTGGCAACATTGTAAATATCAAATGTGGAATCTCCGTATCCCAAAATAGGTATATTTCAAATTTTGTACAATTATGATTAGCATTTTACGAGATAATTAGCCGTTTCCAGACTTTTGGGCTACTCTGTATAATTTCTTAGAATTCTGGATGAGAATTATTTTAAAAATTTTAAAATTGCAATTTTTCGAAATTGCAACAACACCGAACGTGAAGAGGTTTTTTGTTTAAAATATTACTTATTGTTTTTTTGATTTTCAAGGTCATATTACGATCACAATAATGTTCCTCCTGCCACTACGATCCCTCCTAAAGCTTATTACCCTAACGGATTTGATTCTGTAAGAAGCATTTATCCGGTGTGTACAGCATTCCATCCGAATTCAGATCATTATGTTAACACTTTTACGAATCCTTACCATAATCAAGAGCTTCAACAGTTTAGCTGTCAGAATTGTCAAGCAAAATCAACGAGCTCCAAGCGGTTTCCGGTTAAAGTGAGGACCCCAAAGTAAGTACATTTTTTTTTTAATTTGATCTTACACAAAGTATTTTCATATTTTACAATATTTTTTAATACTTTAACAATATTGTTAATGCCCAATAAGATGTGTAAATATTTTAACTGTAACATTATGACATTAAAATGGGACAAGTTAAACCTCATTGTTTAATGAGTAAAGTTGAGATTTTAATACATAAAAATGCTTTAGATATGCGCCTAAATATGTTAAATTATTCGCTTAAATATATCGAAAATATGCATTCTTTTTATAATTTTTGTATTTTGATTCCTTTTTTTTTTTAAATTATCTAATTTTTTCTTACTAAAATCTAGGTAAGGATACTAGAAAGGCAATAATCGCTTGTCTCAAGTTAGCCTTTGAGAATTATATCTGTATTTTTTTAATTGGTTAATTTCCATAGATTCTAACAAAGATAGCTTAAGGCCTTTATTTTGAATGTGAAGAATTTTTAATTCGTCATTAAAAGAATGATTATGATCTAGAAGGTGAATTGCGTATGTAGAATCTGTTTTATTCTACAGTATTATTATTGAAATTCCTTTTGTTTTCTGACATTCGTTTTTGAATGGTTCAACCCGTTTGACCGATATAAGTTTTGGGATAGTCGCCAAATGTAAGTTTGTATAACCCACTGAGTAAGTTCTTATTCTTTTGGCTCTTGTTGTTCTTAATATATTTGCTTAAGTAGTTGTTTGTTCTGAAATCTTGCAGCTGGCCAGCTAGCCCTGAAAATTGGCTAGCCGTTTCCGAGATAATCGAAGCGTTCCATACGTAGGACCCACTCTATATAAAAATATATTTATTTTTAAAGTTCAGCTTCGCTCATTAAAATTGACCTTTTTCAAAGTTCTTAATAATTAATGTCCATTACCTATATTAAATAACTTTGTAACAAAAACATTGTAATAATGTCTTCTTATGCAAATAACATAAACATTTTGGTTTGTTTAGAATCAATATTTACACAAAACATGGCTGCGTAAAGTTACCACTAATGTGGCTTATCAATCTTGACGATCATTAGTACTGTTTGCATTTTGTACAAGGATGCCCAAAAAGAGTAGTGTGACTTTTGGCTCTAACAAGGCTCCTAAATTTCTTAATTGATTTTAGAACAGTTAAAAATAAATCATACTTCAGTTCCAGTTTTTTGAGTAGCTTTTTATAGAGTGTTTCTCCTACTGAATCATGTCGTTTGTTATAGTATAGTATAACAAATACCTTATAACTTCCGATGAGATGTTGATTTAATCTTGAGCTTGCCATCTATATCGGCATTTGATAAATTGTGCTTAACCCGGCATTCGACATGTGAAATTTTGTAACGCTGTTCGACACGTGGAGTGTGACAAACCACAGGTTGAAAATATAGACATTCCTATATCTCGTAGATTTTCATAATTATATGTATTACTATAGCTTCAGAATACATTATGGTAATCAATTCCAGAAGAACATTTGCTAAAATTAGTTTACTATTAAACATAAAGCCAATTATAAGAAAAAAAAATTTTTTTTTCGAGAAAATAAAAATGTGTATTATGACCGAAAACTTAATACATTTTTTATCGAAATTAATAGTATAAAAACAAGCAACTACAATAGAAATAGTATCTAGCCAATAAAATTAACAGAATTAAATTTTACAGAATAAATATTGAGTTCTCATTTCTTAAACCTGGAGTAATTTTCTCAGTATTCACACAGTGATCTAAACATGTAAAAAACTTCACATGCCTCACACACGTATCTAGTTTTGCTGTCTTTAATTCGGGGACATTTTCAACATTTCCCTGCTGATAAAGCCTCTTGTCAGCAGGACAATGTTGAAGTGTCTTGTCTCATTGTTTTTTTTGCAGGCTGTTCGGAATTTTCACCTAAAATCTTTCGGATACTGCTTCTCAACTCTCTAAATAAATTAAGGTTACTCATTATTTCTCTTTGATGTTCTTCAATCGATTGGAAAATTTAGTTTCTTCAGGAAAAGGCTTCTAACAATGTTAGGACTATCGCTGTTTTGTCTCCGCGACGAAGGTTTGCAATCATTGCTATTCTAACTTTTGACACTACAGTCCGAAAGTATTCAGTTAGGCTGGATCCAAACCATTCTCTGAAGTTTCTCAGCCAAGACATTCTTATTCTACCTATGCTGTGCTTCCTTTAAATATTTTCCTACATTATTAGTTTTAGGAATTCATATCTGTTACTACGTGTTATATGACCCAGACATTGTAGTTTTCTTATTTTGATGGAATCCAGTATTTCCCTTCTATACTCCGTTCTTCTTAATACTTCTTCATTGGTTATTTTGTCTTGTAAAGATAAGAATACCAAAGAGGATTGAAGTATTATTGTAAAAATAATACCTCAATCAACCATGGAAGCTTATCGTCTATACCTTGCCTAGCTCAATATCTCAAGGGTTAGTTCATCTAGTCTTAAATTAGGTATCGAACCTGAACCCTTAGCTGATAGCAAATAAAACAAATCTTAACCAAACATATTTATTAAAAAGAATAAAAACAATAATTAACCCTGCCAAAGCTTAACAATTAATAAGTGATACTTATTGGTTTGATGGGCTGCTGTGTTCTAGATGTTAGGTCCTCCAATTAAATGTGTCTTCTGAAAAGCTGTAGTTACATGTGTATATAGGCACTCCACTGGTCAATAAATTTTCATGATTTGATTGGAATTTACGTAAGGTCCTCCAATAGTCTTGAATAAAATTATCAATAAAGCCGACAATATACCCAATAAACTAAAATACCAGGAACAGCTTCATTGGAGACACATAAAAAAAGATTTAACTTCCTTGCTATTTTACAAAATAACAATTAAACAAATAGCGTATGGTAAGAATAAAATGAAATATAATTGTTACTACTTAGTTAAATTCTGTTAAAGAGTCCTAATATACATATTCTGAAAAAAAAAAATATAATTCAGAAGCGTAGTTTGATGAAAGAAGTAAGGTTATGAATGTTGAGAATGCGGTCAGAATTATAGAATAAAGATTACAATGAAAGTACTTACCCCAAGAGAATTTGTAGACTATGAAATGAGTCTTATAATAATTTTTGCCTTCTTTTATAAATTTCAAAAGCAGGCAAAAAATTATATTCCGACTACGTTAGAAAAATTGACTTAAAGTAGGGACACAAAATGAAGTTAGCACAGATGTCATAGGATATTGCTATATCACGATATTAGCTTGTCTGTCAACACAGAACAGAATATTTAGTCTATCGGACAGAAAGAGAAAGAGCGAATATTTATTCTACAGGACAGAAAGAGAGAGAAAAGAAAGACAGAGGAAGAAAAGAAAAACAGAGGGCGCCAACTACTTTTTGAAGAAAAAATAGTAAAAAAAAAGCTAAATATAAAGAAATTAATAAAATAATAAAGAAATTAAAATAAAATAAAATGAATGTGTTGCTTTTGTGAGTCCATTTCAAATAGGTAAAAAAGAAATAAATAAGACTTACTCACACACATCAGTTTAATTTAACTATCTAGATGACCGGTTTCGCTTTCTACAATTTGCAAAGCATCTTCAGGTCTGTCGATACAAAGTTAATAAAGTGCTGAAATAATAAAACCCATATCAGGGTGCTGTCTTATAAGTATAAACATAAAGATACAATAATATAAATTACAGTAATTATGCCAATATTACATGTCTGTGGTTTTTAATATGAATAAACTGTTTAAGCAGACAAACTAAGTCCCACAAATTGGTATAAAATAGTCTATTGAAGTGTAATCAATTAGTAAATAAACAAAACATTGCTAACATGCCAGTACACGATTTATTAATAGTTGGGAGAACATAGTTCAAACTATCCTGTAATTGCTGATGATGGGGATCTTCAGTTTTTACTATTGTAACTGTTTGATAATTACCGGGGAAGTTTCTTCCATCTTAAGTTCCTCTTGGACAATACTTTATATGCGACGTTAAGTAGGGTTATGCCTCTATAATTCTTCATATCTTCGATCAAATCTTCTTTTTTGTGAAGAGGGTGCATTACACCTAATTTTCAGTCTGCGGGCGTTTCCTTTCGTTGCCAGATTTTTGTTACTAATTTATGCATGTGTTTAAAAAGGGTGACAACACCATTTGCAAGATGTCAACATCATTTTTAAAGTGTTCGGCAGGAAGATTGTCCAAACCAGGGACTTTGTTATTTTTTAGTTTAGAAATGGCTTCTCTAATTTCTTCTTCGGTGGGGGCGGCTCTTGAGCGTTTTCATTCATTTCAGGCAAAGTATTTTCTATTTGGTCTTTTTCACGACTGTCGCTAAGCAGTTCTTTAAATTAATTGGCCCACCTGTTTAGTATCTGTTGTTTATCACTAATTATGGAACCATAATAACATGCACGTCTTTACATGCTGGTTGAATTCTTTTCTGCAGCTGTTTATCTTCTGGTAGAATTTTCGCGAGTCTGTTCTACTCTTGTGATTAAGAGTGTTTTTGTATGGCTCTTTCTTTTTCCTTTTAAACGTTCTTTTTTCTTCTCGTTTAAGATTTTCATAGTCTTCCAGGTTTGATCTCGTTCTGCGCTGCTGAAGTCTCGTATATGCTTCATTTTTCTGTTGGTTATTGGATCTACATTCTTCGTCAAACCAATCTTCGTATATTTTAGCCTGGTTAGGTTTTAAAAAGTCTTAAGCTGCTGTATGGATAGCTTCCGTGCATTTGGTGCAGTGTTCTTCTATACTTAAATTTTCGTCGATTCTTGTCAGCTCTTCATTTAAAATTTTCCTGTAGTTATCCCTAGCGGTTTCAGATTTTAGCACATCAGTATTTTATTTCGTAGATTATAGATATACGAAATAAACACGGAAAAAATAAACTTGCGAGTTCCGATACGTGGGATGTGACAAACCACAGACAACTTAAAAGCGACACCACTCGACTGACCTGACTGCATCAGACTTGCAGTTAATATAATATTCGAAAGCTACTGAAGCGCTGTT